AGCATCCCACCGAGGAGGAGCAGGACCCGACCGTGCCGCGCACCTGGGTGCCACCACCCCGCCGGGAACCCCAGGCACCCTCCAGCCCCGAACGCCTCCTCCGGGTACCCGGTTGGGCCTGGCTGGGCAGGGGTGACAACCACGCACGACTGCGCCGCTCACTCCTACAGGCGGCAGCTGCATTTAAGTGGATTGAGGTGCTCATGAGCCATGGTGCTATTTTGCCAAGCAGAATTTGTTGCCAGAAGTGTTTTAGCTCACCCAAGATGGACCTGCTAATTTTGGTCTATAATCTTCCATGAGGTTTTGCTAATCACGCTATAATTGTTACACTCAGCTAAAAGTTTACTACAATAAAACCACTCTAACAATGAAAGCACCAGAGAGAAATCTAAACAAAAACCACCAAACAGGAAAATTTGCTTCCTCCAGGATCACTCATCAAATGATACCATTAGACACAGCTACCAAGTTGGATCATTCATTTGATCATCAAGCCAAGCTACAAAGCAGTAACTTGAACATAGGATTACATATTAAACCTTCATTACAAGGCAACTAACATCAGGCATCTCAAGCAGAGAGACATTGTAGTAGCTGTAACATTTTGAAATAAAAGCTTGTGCAATAACAAAGTAGCTTCCTGACAAACTTCAGAGCCACATTAACAGAATCCCCCATGTACCTTAGTGGGATGCCCTGTGGTTTGTTTACACTATTCTTTATATTTCAATACTTGCTCTATTTTCCCATCAGAGAACTCCAGGCTTAGCTCCCAGGCAGGCCTTCAAGCCACCCCCTTTGCTATGTGCAGCTTCTCACTGGTCTGTTTGTACAGGAATAAGTGTGACAAACAAAACTTCTTTAATTTGCTGTCATAGCCTGTGCTCTGTAGCACCCAGACAGGATACAGCCCCAGGACAGAAGAACCCCTCAGTGCTGCCAGACCTGTCACTTTGAACAGCATGGATACGGTTGCAAAATACTGTGTCCCTTGGGCTCGGGGCACTTTTTGGGCAATGTAAGTTCTCAGACAGGGCACAATCTTGCTCACCAGCATTGGCAGCTGCAGA